GGCAATCAATTTCTTCTAAATGATTGCAAATTTAAATTTTTGCAATCAAATTATAAGCAATCGATGTTAATTGTAATTAAACCAGATTGCAATATTACTTAAAATATGCGATTGCAATCCAATTTGATTGAAATTTGGCTGTGCTGTTTGCATAATAACTCACCTCGGTAGAAAGGAAGAGAATTAGAAGTTAACAGACCCAACAGTGCTAGCATGGAGGAAAGAACGAGTTGGGTGGCTGTGTCTTTCTACTGCAGGAGTGAGCCTACTAAATAGAATTTATTGGATCAATGGATATCTAAAGAAGATTTGGAAGCTGTTATGCTTCCCTCAGGCGAAGAATAGATACCATTCATTCATTCATAATTAACTTAAGTTTGACTTTTAAAAATATGAAAATGTTAAAGTAGCCGGCCCAAATATCACATCACAATTCAGTTGGAAACCTCAAATCTTCAGAGGATTCGACGATGCGTGGAAAGCTATTCTTTTGAGTTTCTGTAACAATTTAGTAACGTAAATACCTCGCAAACATTTTTACTATTAAATTACATATTAACTATATTAGCTCTATTGAGAATTAAATTTTCATAAAAAAAACTAAGCATTTTGCCACATTTACATACTCTTTCAACACTAAGCTATTAAACTTAAGCAAAACAAACACAGTTTTTTCTTAAAACTATTTTTGGTCATCCTTCGTAAAATATTCCTTTCAGTTCCATATGTTTTGACCACCATTTATGTATAAAGCAAAATGACCTCGCGAGGTTCTTTAACTTTACGTAAATCTAAGAATACCTGTAACTAAACAGATCGTCCTGGGTCGTAGTTACGAGGTGAAGTGCCTCCTCTGTGCCTTAGACGGTCCCAAGGCCGGTTTGAGAAAACAGGAGGGAAGACAGGGGGCTTTGGTATTTCCAGCGTACGGGCTTGACAACCCCGTCTACCCCAGTTAAAGGCTACCAGTCCTGAGTCGGTGGAGGCTCAACTGGAAGAAGTCTACGGCTTTCGAGAGTCATACCAAAGACTTTAAAAATGGTGCCACGGGGAACAGATGCCCCCGGAGTGTGTTCGTCGGCGAGACGAGCAAAACTGGTGACACAAGCAAGGCTTGCAAGGCTGGCAAGGCAAACATTGGCATGGCTTACACGACTAGAAAATGGTGAAAATAAGTTGTAATTGAAGGAAATGTGTGGTGGAAACCGCTGGAAATGTTGAAAAAGTTGTGCGCAAGTTGAGCAATTCGATCCATTGCGAAAGCTGAGCGAGTGGTATCACCGCTCCTGGATGTGGAGGGTGCCCGCGAGCGAGGCGAGTAGGACGTGTGAGATGAGCAAGATGGTGAATGTGTGTCGAGCAACTCGATCGGTCGAAAGTTGAGCAAGTGGTGTCACCGCTCCTGGATGTGGAGGGTGCCCACGAGCGAGGCGAGTAGGACGAGTGAGACGAGCCAGACGGAGTATGAATGTGGAGTGAAGTAGTCGTGTAAGTCGTTCTAGTGTGAGCTGAGTCAGTTAAGGGGGTCAAGGGTGAGTTGAGCCAGTCCAGCAAATCTCGCCGGCGATCATTACTCCGGTCTGTTCATGGGTACGGCCCCTTTGGGGAGTATCGTGGTGGCTGTGGTTTAATATCTAAATGCGGGTAGAACCAGCAATGGTTCAATGTGGAGTTGCATTTCAACCGGATGTCGTGATTCAGAGAACGTCAGAGGTTTAGGTAGGCCTCGGCCCTACCAAGGTGGTAAGTGTGTCCATCACATACTGCCAATTGGTACTGAAGTGCTTGCAGTTCAGGGCAGTGATTAATGCAAAAATTAATCCGTTGTGCCTAATGCGGGCACCGTGATTAAAGCCTTTGGCAGGTAATCACGTAAAGCCTACATGAAATCTTCTTAAAGTTTTCTTTTTTTCGAACAAGGCTTCAACAAACTCAGTGCCTTGAAAATGGGGTGCATTCCAAAACTTCAAAATACAAAGCATTAGTCTTTTTATTTCTAAACCTCAACAGACAGTAATGACCAGGGAACGGATTTTATGGAAATTGCCTTTTTTTCTGCTAAACAGATAGAAGTATATTCGATTAAGAATGTCCACGACTTAGCTTTCCCTGATTCCATATATACACATTTGGTGTTGCCTTTTTTTGCCTTTTTTAAGATATTGCCTTTTTTTACCTTTTCTACATTTAAAAAAGCGATTATAGCATTTACAATTTTTTTTTTTTAAGATTAAAAAATATACACATGCCCATGCGGCTTATAGAGGCGCAGAGACCTCTTGCCAAATTGGTGTTGGAAAACTTCAAAGCCGTTTTCTCAGCTAACGTAGGCTTTGGGACAATAAGGGGTGTGGATAAAATTGTAAAGAGCGAGGAAAACGGCCTTATTCCTGATAATATGAACGTTTCAACCGTTCCATATTTAAATTGGGCTCCACTTGTATCAACAAACGTCGAGCGCACATTTAGTACATTCAAGGCTTTTCTTCGCGAAAATCGAATGAAAATGCTGCCAGAAAACTTCAAAATGCATCTTGAGGTTCAATGTTACTACAGCTATACAGATTAAAGTTTTATTAGTTAGAAACTCGAAAGGATAAAATAGTCAAAGATTCAAAGTACAAATTTTTCATATAACGAAACTAGTTCATAATTTTTCTCTTTTTACTTGTAATATAAACATTTTTAAAATAAATGTATTTTTTGAAGGTTCTTTGTATTTTCTGTCTTTTTTTAGTGCCTTATTTTGATTTGTTTGCAATACCTAGTGCTTTTTCCTGCCTTTTTCGCTATTTTGTTTTGCCTTTTTTTTGCCTTTTTTGCAATACCTAGTGCCTTTTCCTGCCTTTTTCGCTATTTTATTTTGCCTTTTCCAGCTTATTTCGTTATTTTATTTTGCCTTTTTTATAGGTTTTTAGGTCCTAAAAATCCGTTCCCTGATAATGACAAATGTACGGTTAGATACTAGTTTTCAACTAGTTTGCGCAAGTTAGACTTTTTCTTCTAGTGTAATTTAGAAATAAGAGGAACTGATGCTTTGTATTTTGACGTTTTGGAATGCACCCTTACATAAAAAGGCTCTTGGTCGACGGGCGGTTTTGCAAAAACATCGACGCTATGTATATCCATACACATGTATATATGTGCGCTCTTAAGACGAAGGCACAAGAAATTAAAATTTGTGTAACGTTCCTAGAGAACTTTTCAGATTTATGTCTTTAACACCAAATTATTTGATTAACAAATTTTTCGTAGAACGCTGAAACCGAATCGCAAACGCACTGCAGGGAGTTTCACGCTTTCAAACGACAACAATTGACTAAGGGCCGTTCAATATCCGGTTAACACAAACCGGAGGTAAAATGTCGATAACGACGTTTAACTGGGAGGTAGTGCTAACAAGACATTGAAAAAATGGACCGAGGGGTTGTTTTCGCCATCGCTGGTTAACTGTAACCTCCAGTTAAACATCGGTATCGACGTCACTCTGTGTTATATGCATTGCAGTAGCGCTCTATGAGCAAATTTTATTTTGTTCCTATAAACACAAAAGTTCTTTAACAGGTCCATTCTGCACGTTGCCGAAGATTTTCTAACCGGAAAATTTTATTACCAAAAAATGTTACCAGTTCTTGTCACCGCGATTCTAGATACGTTGGTAATGCAGTTAAAATATTCAGCAATTCAGCTATGAAGAGTTGTGGAAGTTCTGGCATTGCATATTTCACGGGGCAATACTTTGTTACCAGCTTATGAGATGGTAACGCAATTTACCGGTTACAAGAGTAAACAGAATGCGAAAAGGGTTTAAAAATTGAGAGGAACTTTATTTACAGGTTACAAAATTTTTATTACCAGCGCAGAATAGACTTGTAAATGTAAATTCTATCTTAAACTGAAGCATTTTCACCTAATCTAAGCCTTTTGACCACTTCGGTATGTTAATTATAGACAATTATTTTCCGTTTACCTTTTACATCCCATGGCACACGACTATGTAGCATTATCCACATCGCCTTAACAGTATTCAGAAGAAGCACATCGTACTAACTGAATTTTTTCGCCTGCGGGATAGTACCTACATAGGTAGTATGTACACTTTTAAGATGCATGCATATGAATTATGCGTGGCTTTTATTGTATCTCTGTATTTCACTAACTCCCTGTGTGAGGAAACCAAATATGTAATGTAATTCTTAACAGCAGTGCCTAAAATTTAACATTTTGGCAATGTTAAACACTGTTGAAGCTAATTTCCGGTATTTCTTTTATTAGCGCCTGAAACTATACTTATTATTTACTACCGCCTGCAGCTTTAACAAATTTGTAACGTTTTTACGTTCTTTGGCAAATTACGCTCTGTTAGCCATAAATTTTACTTTTTGACCGTCTTTGTATCAAGACCAATGAACCATCTAGGGAATTCATTTATATTTTAAATTGCATTGTCATCGTTATTGGAACTATGCTGAAAATTTCAAGCCTCTACCTTGTCGGGAAGTTAGTTTAAAATCGATTGGAAATTTCCGCGGGATGACCAAGTTAAATAAAAGCTTGGAAAAATAGTTTTATTCATTCGTTCATTTTCTTTGAATCAAATTGCTGGTTCCACTGAAATAGCACCGTAGTCCTTCACATGACCTTGAAATTTGAGTTCGGTGTTCAATCGGAGTTAAACAGTAAGCGCAAAGTGCTAACGCCGCCAAATTTCAGCTTACGATCATTTCCAGATCGTTTTAAAATTTGTATGAATCGTTTTTCTTTTAAAAACGTTTTGACCTAGATTTTGCTCCTACAATATTTATTTAAGTTTTGAGAACGAGAATTTCAATTTGTATTTGATACGCACATTTTAATATTATTTTATTAGTAAATGATCAAGTGCCAAAAATGTATTTGTTTTTTAATGTGGTTGTGAATTTATTTTTTGTTTCTATTAAATAATCGGCACACCAAAAAAATATAAATAGGAATTTCACAATGCAAACTTCTTTACTTACCATTTACGATGATAATGAAAATGATCGACACGAAAATCAGGTTTAATCCACATTTTGATGACATTGTTTTACAACAGCAACAACTAAAAAGTATTTACGCGATAATACTAAATTACCGTTCATCAACACGTTTTAATTGCGAGAGCGCGAAAAGCACAGAAACACACTTTATTATTTACTTAGTTCGTCGAGAGTTTAAGTTGATAGGCTGGCGGTTTTAGCCGATAGGAATTGTTGAATTTCAGTTGGTTTCCGAGTATCGAGCAAAGAGTAACAAAAGGGTATTGTGTGTATGCTATAATATATATATGCGGCGTTTTGTTCGTTCGCAGGTAAGCCAACGTTGGACCCACAACTGCTAAGCGACCAGTAACCGACAGCACAAAATTCAATTCAATTCAACTGTTCAACAACGAGCGCCAACATCCGAGGATGTGTGCTATGTGCACTGCGGTTTCAAGGCTAAAGAGCGTACCGTTGTGGCTGCAATGTTTACAAATTTCCACAACAAACATGCGACTACGCAACGAAAATTCCCTGAATCACACAAGCACAATAACACAATGGCGCACTACAGGGAGCTAAGAATGGAATCTCTTAGGTGCATAGTCATTTGTGGCAAATCCTGAAAAAAGCAGTGTAGGTACGGCGTATGTCGCGTTGGCACCAAATTCGGTGGGTTTTTTTCTTACTCCCTTTGATCTGGCAATTTGGCAGTGTATGGAAACAACCAAAGCAAATTTTCCGCTCTTTTTCCACAGCGAGCTTACTAATCATCTATGTTAGTTTTGTTGTTTTCACAACGTTCGGCGGGTATTTCCACAAAAAATACGTCGCAAAATTATCCCGAATTTCGTTGCTTTCAAAGTGCGTACCCCCTCTTTCGGAGAGAAGTATTACGAAATTTAAATTTGACAGTCGCTGTTCACTTCAATTTACATCATTTTTTTTTTTATTCGAGCATTTCGGTGAGTGTGCGCACGCGCTGGAGTGCCTGGTTGTTTTGGCTAAAAAGCCAAAGCGAAAACAAAGGGTTTTTGGCAGCGGATCTGCCCGACCAACCGTGCCAGTCACAACACAATAGTCCTCTTCACTGCGCAACGTTGGCGCTTCAGCTTGCACTTCCCACTGTGCGCCGTTCTGTCGTAACACACTTTGTTTCGGCTTCGGACAGTTTTTTATTCACTGCCAATTATTTTTTCCGAGATTTGCTTTGACTTTAATCAATTCAATATGATTTGTATGCTTTTAGCGGGACTCACACTTTACATTCGCGTATTTTCCATCGACAATTGATATTATTTAGATATTTTTCTGACGCAATTCTTATTTTTCTTCGCTGATTGGCGCAGATTTTTTTCTACTTTATACGATTCGCGATTCGCATTTGGTTTGTATTTGCTATCGTTACTTCTTTGTTAATCCTATTTAGTATCGATTTTTAAAGCATAACTTTGAAATGCGTTTTCCTGTGTAGCATATTCGATTTGATGTGATGACTGTTTCTGAAAAAAAAAATATATATGATTAAACTTCGTTACAAGAAAAACTGGTTTGGAAATAATAATTTCCATGATAATTTCAACATGGTTTAGAAACATGAAAGAAATGATTTTTTCCTATTTATATTTTTTCGTATCAAGAGGTTTTCAGTAAGGTGATGACTGTTTCTGAAAAAAAATATATATATGATTAAACTTCGTTACAAGAAAAACTGGTTTGGAAATAATAATTTTCATGATAATTTCATATGTCATCAGAAGTAAGACTTAGGGAGCCAAAGTTTAGTGATGAATGTGGGTTATTGTGAGAAGAGTAGCACGGGTCGCTAACGTCGTCATTAGAAAAATTCGATTTACAAAAATCGGCGAATAAATTGGCAACTTCTAAAGGTGAGCTAGCAAATTTTTCCCCAAGACAAACCGCAGAAGGAACACCTACGCTGGACTTGATACACTTAATGTAGTGCCAAAAAGTTTTAGGATTTGATTTAATGTTCGATTCTACACTGAAAATATAGTTTCTTTAAAGGAACTTATTTAGGCAGTTGAATTTTTTCAACAGTTGCTGATACCGTATAAAATGAGACTGTACCTTAGTTTTTTTGAACTTATTAAAAAACTTATTTCGTTGGTTCTTAAGTTTTTTTAGTTCATAATTGTACCACGGAAGTTTGTAGGCCCTTTTTTTCTTTATTGGAATATTTTTAAGACAGATTTCGTTTACTCGATATTTAAAAGTACAATAACAACTTTCAACATCTAAGCTGGAGAACAGATTCGCCCAGTCAGTTTCAAGCAAGCAAGAGTTTAGTTTATCAAAGTCACAACATCCATATTTGAACGTAACTTTTTCTTCAGACTTGCTGATAGAGAATTGATAGAATTCCACCTTAAGTGATAACGAGACATGATGTTTGTCTGCCGGAGAGAATGGGGAAAGACACTGGGAAATGGTGGTGTTAATATTCGCACTGGTGAAAACCAGATCAAGAATTCTATTAAGCTTGTTAGTAAAATAATTAATTTGAGTTAAATCTATTATTAATTATAATCACGATGCATTTATCTGGTCACACTAAACTTAGAGCTAGTTGGTTTGATACCATCCTGGTGTAGGAATCTTCGATATCGTATCGATTATTCTGAATATAGATATTTCATGGCATATATGGAATATAGAAGACATCGATACTTTACCCGCAATATCGATATTTAAGTTGAAATTTATTTTTAATCTACAAAAAAGTGTATGGGAAAATACTAAAGTAGGTTTAATCAGCAGCTTGCGTGATTTACTTAGCTCTTAAGTTTGAGCCGCTTGAGACGACCCGCATGCCGTTTTAATCCTCAGTAAGTAAACAAGATCCACGATTGAGAGAAATAGAGATTGCGCCAATCGTGGTACCGCTAATGCGGTCTTTGTGATTTTGACAGAATTAGCCGTGTGCGTGACGTCGGCTTGGTGCAATTGTTGATTGTGAGCAGTGTTTGCATTTACTACTCTATAGTAGCAATAGCAACAAACCTATTGCTTCGCTTTTGCTACCGCTCTTCATTTGAAGAGAGCAGTAGCAGAGCAGGTAGTACAAAACGCGAAAAGCATTTGTATTGCTCGGCTCCCGACTGGGCTTCGTTGTACTACTACGCAGATGAATAGAGCACAAAAACGAACAATGTACTTTTTAGAGTCGTAGGAAATAAAAGAACTGTGATTGCAGTGCGGAGCATAGCAAAGCGAAATTTTTGCTACTGCTATTGCTATCGCTACGGGAGTCGTTGCTATTGCTCTCGCAGCTGCTACAAATGCTAAACTGGTTTTTCGTTTGCTTTTAATATGTTGCATTTTTAGTTCACACATTTATTTAAACTAGGAATTAAAATTGTACATATCTATGTATTTCATTCAGTAAAGATAATTCAAAAGAGAACTTAAAATACTACGTAATACATTTTTTACTGTTATTAATCGTCGTGTTCTTCAAATAAGGATGTATTTTCGATGGCATTATCCAGATGGCCCGAATTTAGTTTTACTAGTAGGATGTTTTCTAATGTGTTGTGACTAGGCCGATTTCGGTTGTCAGCTAGGACTAATTTCAGGGAAGAAAACGCCCTTTCTATTGTGACCTTAGAAAAAAGAAAAATTATAACATTTTATTGGAAAATTCAAAAATTATTTTTACATACTTGAGTGGGTGGAATCGCAAAGCATACTTTGCTTAGCTCATAGAGCTCTGGATCACTTAACTGCCTCTCTTTCCAGAAGTTTAAAACATTAATATTAGCTTTCATGTAAGGTTATCTGCTGCTTCATTTATAGGTGCTATCGCAGGGGATAAATAGTTGTCTAAAATTTCAAAGTATTTTTCTTCCGACTTCTACTTAACCCTCGATTCTACATAAAAATAACTAACTTTTCACATTTTAAAAATAACAATAGCTCTCCACCATTTTTGGGCAGAGCCGCATAAGTTTTCACGTGGAATGATCCATAAAAATCCTATGTACTTGTATATTGCATATCTATGTACATTACGGCGGGTCAATTTGTATGGGAGGTTTTTTTCACTATGCGCGTATAGCACAGGAGTATTCTACGTGTAGTTCTAAGCAAATTTGCCGAAGAAACCATGGCAAACCCAGTCAGTAAAATTAAAGTAATTTCCAATAATAAAAATAAGCTTCTGCGGCGGCATGTTTTCTTTTTAGTATATCAATAACGACTGTACAAAAGCCAGAGAACTTAGATAGATAGGAAGGTTCAAATTTTCGGAACGTAAAATTGTTTGGCTGAAAAATAAATCCATGGAATATCACCACAGCGCGATTGACATTTCAAGAAGAGTTAACAGAGAAAAATGTAAATTTCTGTTATGATAATGTTATATTTGTTGCAAGTGTCTGGCTATGTGTTGCTTGGTTGCAGGTGAATGCAGAAACGTATTCATGTATATTTTTTTTATAAAATTAAATAAATTAATATAGTTAAATTATATTAAATGTACTTTTATATTAGTTAGAATTACTGATTTGCATTTCTGCAAAACCACTTGTTAAATATAATTTATTCAGTAGTTAATGTTGCTAAAAACTTAAAAAGCATCTGTTCAAGTTCGCTTCTTGTACGAGTATTATATTATGTAAATAGTAAAAATGCATGTTAGTTAAAAAAATTATAAAATTGGTTTTTTCACATACTCACTTTAAAGATGGACGCATTAACAAAAAAATTTACAAAGCAATGCACTTGTTAACTTCAAAGTTGTTTTTGAGTTTTACTGCAATACTCGTAGATATTATTTGTAAATAGGTAATAGTTCTGGAGTAAAATGCAAATCCATTTCCCAGGCATGCGCATATGGATGCTTGTAGTACATACAGATGCGATCAACTAATTAGCAACGAAATTCAAAATGATATTGTTTACAAATTATGTTTATTTATTTATTTTTAATAATTTCCTTTAAAATATAATTCAATTTATAACAGAAACCGCAATAATAAAAGTTTAAAAGCTTGCACAATTTGCAAAATAATTAATCAAACTTAAAAAAATTGTTATAAAAATTTAAAAATTTTTAGTTAGAATATTTAGAAAATTTTCGGGTATGCAGCTTTGTAGTCCATTCAATCAAGTACACTAAAGTCCAAGTTTCAAGTTGTTAAAGATTACCGTTGATTTCTTAGAATTTTTTTTTGTGCAGGGTGTTCGCATTTTCTTCCATATAACACATAGACCAATTTTTTTTTGTATGAAAAATAAACAGCAACACCCCAACAAAAAAATCTAAAAAATCAACGGTAATTTTTAACAACTTGAAACCTGCACTTTCTTATAATATAATTGAATGGACTACAATACTGCATACCCGAAAATATATTAAATATTCAAATAAAAAATTTGGATGACCATTTCTTGAAGGTTGATTCATTTTTTTGCAATTTGTGCAAGCTTTTAAACTTTTATTATTGTGGTTTCTGTTCCAGATTGAATTATATTTTAAATGAAAATCATTAAAAATAAATAAACATAATTTGTTGATGGCAGCTGAATGTATGTATGTATGTACTTACATATGTAAATATGTACCCCATACACATACTCCAAATCATTTATTGATAACGTTCTTGCACCTGCACATAATATTACATATATGTAAGTACATACTAACTTTCTTCTTATTTGGGGCTGACAAACTTTAACTTAAGAGTCGACTTTATTTCGTCTACTAATATGCCCCAGTAGTTTTGGAGTCAAATGAAAATGCATTTCCCACGCATAAATATATGTGTCTATATGTACTACATGCTCCATTAATTGACAACGTTTTTGCATGCATATATAAGTACATCCATACATACGTGCATATTGCTGTCTAAGTATCACGCACATATATACAAATGTACATATGTACAACTCACGGCAGCATACATACACACATACATAATTACGCGCATATTCACATACAACAATAACTATTTCATTCATAAACGCATGCGCATATTTCTCAAGGCCAAGTAAATTCTTTCATAAAAACAACCGCAGCACATCTCCCCGCAAATTCATCACCAACAAGCGCAACTTTGTCAATCCGACACAAAAATTCTAAAATCTTAAAATGAAGAAATCTCGGCCAGCCAAGTGAAAAGTGGCAATTATTTCTCTATAACCAGTAAAATAAGTTATCTCGAATCTTGGCAATTTTTGTTAATTTTTGACAAAACACTCTATTTCTCTGTTCCATACCAATATTTCAATCATTAACTAGTATTTTAAAGTGTCATTTTAATAAACATTAAATAAAAGTGTACGTTTTCTGCAGGAAAATACATTTTTTTTTTTAATAAAATCAAAACTTCTAAAATCACAAACATATGTGGTTTTATCGGAAGTTCACAGATGTAACGTGGCAACTTAGCTCGTTTTCACATTTTTCGGTCCGAAATTGTAAAATTTTTGTCCATGACGCGCCACGATTTTTGTACAGGTGGGTCAA